GTGGCCCAGCTCAGACCTTCCTCACCCTAGCTGTAGCCGGTAACATGTGGTATGGGTACGTGTGAGTGTTGCGGTTCCGATAGCGCAGATCAGTCCTTCCTCTTTTTACGCAACCGGTGCCCTCCAAAAGTAGTATGTGGTGACCGGGGGCCCGGGTAGGAAAGGGGACACGAGGCTAAGAGTTAGGTTGCGTCCGTCGAGCTTTCGCCATCGCCACCGCTCCTCCAACTTCGACCACCATAGCCAACCCTTCTTCCACCTCCATCACTTACACCCATCCACCATAGCCGACCGCCCCCAACCCTTCTTCCACCTCCATCACCTACACCCATCCACCATAACCGACCACCCCCAACCCTTCTTCCACCTCCATCACCTACACCCATCCACGATAGCCGACCACCCCCAACCCTTCTTCTACCTCCATCACCTACATCTATCCACCGTAGCCAACCACCCCCAACCCTTCCTCCACCTCCATCACCTACACCCATCCACCATAGCCGACCACCCTCAACCCTCCTTCCTCCTCCATCACCCACACCCGTCCACCATAGCCGACCTCCCCCAACCCTTCTTCCTCCTCCATCACCCACATCCGTCCACCATCGCCGACCAYCTCCAACCCTTCTTCCTCCTCCTTCACCCACACCCGTCCACCATAGCCGACCACCCCCAACCCTTCTTCCTCCTCCATCACCCGCACCCGTCCGCCATAGCCAACCATCCCCGATCCTTCTTCCTCCTCCATCACCCACACCCGTCTACCATAGCCGACCACCTCCAACCCGTCTTCCTYCTCCGTCACCCACACCCGTCCACCGTAGCCRACCACCCGCAACCCTTCTTCCTCCTTCATCACCCACACCCGTCCACCATAGCCGACCACCCTCAACCCTTCCTCTACCTCCATTACCCACACCCATCCACCATAGCCKACCACCCCAACCCTTCTTCCACCTTCATCACCTACACCCATCCGCCATAAGCCGACCACCCCCCAATCCTTCTTTCACCCCCACCACCTACGCCCGTCCGCTCGAGAATCATAGGAGGCGCAAAGGAGCACGCGGAGTCCGGGTAGGGTCGGTCAAGGTGGGCCAAGGGTCAGGGGCGATTAGGATGTGGAGCCTCTCGTGCCCGCTCTCTCGCTTCCCTTCGTCTTCCCTTCCTCTCCTTCTCCTCTTTCTCTCTCTCTCTCGCTCTCTCTCTCTCTCTTTCTCTCTCTCCCCCCTCCCCTCGCCTCCTCTCTCCCCTCGCTCTCTTTCCCCACGGTCCTTGACCTTTAACTCTCACCTCGTCCCTTCCCTTCCATGGCACGTAACTAACCTCTACCTTCACCTGTTACATTGCCAGGGGACGAACGGTAACGAACTTGATCCTCACTTGGTGGAAAGCGAGGGCAAGGGGAGGGCAGTTGGTCCCTTGTGCCACTAAGAAGGAAAAGCGCCGGATTGTTGTGGGCGTTGGAGAAAGCGGAAAGGAGTGTTGTCTTTGTAACAAGGTCAGTTTAACTCAACCATCCTCCCCAACTGCATGACTAAGATAAAGGCACGGCTTGCTTGAGGGAAGGGAAAAACAACCAAAGGATCATCGAAGGGCAAAGGAAGCTTTTAGGATGGCGGGAAGGGGCGGTGTGTTGACCCCAATGGGGATTGTATTTGGTCCATGCTTTGTGTGGTGTTGTGCAGGTGAGTAGCTCGGGATGGGTGTCGAGCGGGACTGGATCCGCCAGAAAACTGGATAAGGGAGGGACGTAGACCTCACATAAACTATGAATGCGGGATGGGTTTGACGGTTGGATGCTTGGATGAATGGTAGATGCCGAATGCGGCTTGCATGGTGATTGAATGCAATGGCGCTCTTGAATGCACTGTACGCCCGGAAGGACTAAGGGCGGTCTTGGATAGGTGAATGCAACACTAGTGACTCAAGCAAAAAAAAAAWATATAGCGGCTAGGGGTCCGGGTGAAACCWCCCCACCCCGAGGATGCCGSAGGGGCGGTCTTGAGTCGCTAGGTTTAGTGAAGAAGTGTGTGGTCCAATGGATGACGCTTGGCCTACACACGAAACGAAGATAAACTCTCAATGAACTCCCTGGACTGCGTGCGTATTGGAAGGAGCAATTGCTTGGTCAGATGAAAAGAGAATCAAGCAAACGCCACGAGTGCCTAAAGAGCTACCATCGAGAGCGGAGCTACATCCCCCAATGTAAAGCCCTCTCGCAAAAGGCCCATCCCCATCCATCTCAAAGCGCTAGGTGGGGATGCCCCTGGGACGAACAACCCGCGCCCTGAGCGTGAGCGTGGGCGGGTCGAACCAAATGGGACCCGCAGTGGGGTCGACTTAGGCTCGAAAGTCCTTCAGGGTACGGCCCCTACAGCGGTACGGGCACTTTGAGTGGGTGGTCATGCCTTTCGGCCTCACCAATGCCCCAACGACCTTCCAAGCGGCAATGAACAATGAGTTTCGTGCGATGTTGGACCGGTTCGTGCTGGTCTACTTAGACGACATTCTCGTCTATAGCCGGACCTTGGAGGATCATCTTGAGAATCTTCGACGTGTGTTGGAGACGCTCCACCGTGCCAAGTACAAAGCCAACTGCGACAAGTGTGAATTCGTTCGGCAAGAGCTTGAGTACTTGGGCCATTTTGTCACACCAGAGGGCATCAGTCTGTGGCCGGAACCGCGGAACGTCACGGATGTCCGTTCGTTTCTTGGCCTTGCTGGCTACTACCAGCGCTTCATCAAAGTCTATTCGAAGATCGCGGCTCACTTGACCAAGCTTCAATGCGAGGATCGGCCGTTCGACTTCGGTGAGGATGCACGGGAATCTTTCTTGGCTCTCAAAGCCGCCCTTCTGTTAGCGGAGGTCTTGCGAATCTACGACCCGCTGTTGCCCACACGCGTCACTAGTGATGCGTCCGGCTATGGCATTGGTGTTGTCCTCGAGCAACACGAAGGAGTGGACTGGCACCCGGTCGAGTATTTCAGCAAGAAAGTGCCCGTCGTGCATTCCATTGATGATGCACGCAAGAAGGAACTTCTGGCCTTCGTCCACGCCCTCAAGCGGTGACGGCACTTCCTCCTTGGTTGAAGTCAATTCCGATGGGTGACGGACAACAATCCGTTGGTCTTTTACACAGTCAACAGCACCATCGCCCAATGGATGACTTTCATCGACCAGTTTGACTTCTTTCCGGATCACATCCCTGGGAAGTCGAACTGTGTTGCGGACGCTCTTTCACGACGTTCGGATTATTGTGTCGGAGTCTATTCGACCTTCGAGATTGACAACGACCTGCGGGACAGCTTCGTCCGCGACTGCCAAGCCGACCCCGAGTTTCGCGACAAGTACGCGAATTGCTCCTCTCCTAATCGGGCGCCATTGCATTATCGGATCCAAAAGGAGTACTTGCTTGTCCACACATGCGGGAAGGACTTTCTTTGCGTACCGAGTGACTCTCACTTGCGTGCACGGCTTCTTGGCGAGTTCGACAATGCACCCGTCACCGGACATTTTGGAGTCAATCGCACGATTGGCCGACTTCGCGAGCATTTTTGGTGGCCCGGCCTTCTCGGCGACGTCACACGCTATTGTGAGTCATGCAAGGTTTGTCGACGCTGCAAATCTCACAATCACCGTCCGTACGGCGAGTTGCGCCCATTACCGGTCCCCTTGCGCCGGAGGGAAACGATTGCTATGGATATCACTGGGCTGTTCCCCAAGCACAAGACCGGTGTGGATGGGATTCTCACGGTGGTCGATCGGCTCACCAAGTTTGCCATGTTTTTGCCTTGCCGCTATCATGCCAAGGCTCCGGAGTTGGCCGAGGTTCTTTACGCCGATGGGATTCGAACCAAGGGTTACCCCAAGGAAATCGTCTGTGACCGCGGCACTCGGTTCATGTCCGATTTTTGGTTGGCACTCATCAAGCGATGGGGCTCATCTCTCAAGCCCAGTTCAGATCGCCACCCCCAGACCGATGGCCAAACGGAGAGGGCGCACCAGACCGCACAAGTTCTCCTTCGCACTCTCATCCGTCCTGACTAGAAAGATTGGGTTGAGCGGTTGTCGGATGTCGAGTTGGCCTACAACTCCTCCATCCACCCGGCTATTGGGATGTCGCCCTTCGAATTCGAGCACGGCTCGTCGGTCACTTCTCCGTTGGACACCATCATTCCACGAGCGGCCGAGAGCGACGACGAGAGCTTCTTGTCAAGGCGCACGACCAGATGGCTAAGACGCAGCAACGCATGAGCCAGTAGGCCAATCGCCAGCGTCTCCCTTGCCCATTCCGCGCTGGCAACCTCGTTTAGGTTTCCGTCGTGGAATTCAGCCTTGAACAAGACATCTCTCGCAAGCTCCTCCCGAAATGGATGGGGCCTTGGCCGATCGTGGCACCCGCTGGGGATGCACCTGAGGGACCTTCCTTCACGATTCAGGTGGCCGCCCACTTGCCCGTCTATTTAGTCTTTCATTGCTCCAAGTTGGCTCTTTACACGCCAGCAGAATATGTTGATTTTCCCAGGAGACGTTCGCAAGACCCACCCTCCATGGATGGCTTTCAGGAGGTCGGCAACATCATCTCCCAGTGACGCTACGACAACAGGCCAACCACGTACTTAGTGCATTTTGCATATTGCACACACCGAGCTGACCGTTGGTTGACCCGTGCGAAACTTCAAGCAACAGCTCCAGACGTTCTCGCACGCTATGAACGCAAGATGCAAGGCAAGCTGGTCTCTTCGGCTCCACGCTGCACCCGCGTCCAGGTTTCACCTTCAGATCATGAGCTTCACCCTCGCCGCGGCTTGACTTCATAAGGAGGGGGGGGTGTTACGTGTTGCGCCTGCACACGAGGGCCATTTTCCAGGCCCTGCGTCCCTCGAGCTGAAAGCCTGAAAACCAGGGCCTACAGGCCCCGTGTCTGTTCAGCTTGAAAGCCTGAAAAATAGGGGCCTACAGGCCCTGTGTCGTTTCAGACTAAAAATGGCAATAGCCTTTTTAGCCTGAAACGAAGGGCCATTTTCGGTCTTTCATCAGACCGACCTGCCCTAAAACTCAGGCACCAAACCAGGGTKTTAGGAACAGGCTATTTTTGGCCTGTTCCCACGACAGCTGCAGCGTCAGACCCTGGCTCAGTTTGGCATAGGCAAGAGCAGCCTCCTGGACTGCCCGCCCTGCAACTGCAGGCAGTCGGAGGCAGTCAGGAGGCAGGCCGAGGTAGTACATAGGGACTTCTCATGCACTTCACTGGCAGGCAGAAGGCAGTCAGTAGTCTTCAGGATTTGGCAGCAGCACTCTGGAGGAGCGCTGCAGTAGTAGCAGCATTAGCAGTAGTCTTTAGAGCTGGGCGCTAGTAGCGCTAGCTGTAGTCTTCGGCGCTGGGCGCCATACCAGCTAGAGTAGTAATAGAGAGAGAGAGATTGGGCGGAGGCCAGAGGGACTTACCTGCAACGCCATTGCTCCAGCTTCGTCTTCGAGGTACCTGCAGCACAGCGCCATCTTCACAGGTTAGTACCTGGCACATGAGAGAGAGAGTTCTTCTTCTTCCTCTTCTCAGTCCACCATCTCCCTCTCACCCTCTCGCTACCTGACTTCACTGCATCAGCAGACTACGAGAGAAAGATAGAGCTTGGTGTCATTTTGGATCCAGACTCGACATTTGGGCTTCAGACAGTTTGATGAGGGATTATTTGGGACTTGTGATAAAGACTTGGTGTTGATGACATTCCCATCTCTCCCCCTCTTCTTCGTCTGTTCCCCTCCTCTTCGTCTGTGCATGATCAAGGCCTGGCGCTCTTCTTCCTATGTATAGCGCCAGGTCTCTTCACACCTTGTGATGAGAATGATGTATGCTTAGTCTGCGTTACAACATTGAATGGGCTAGTCATTGATATTCCACTTCACTGAAAAGCACCATTTTTGTATGTATCGGAATGCACATTGCTTGTTGAGATTTCACGTGCACTGCATTGTCCATTCAGTCCTTTTCATCACATTGCGGATCCTCGGTTTATATGTACATCG